AGCCATGTGGCTCCAAGGGCAGCGTGTCCCCATCTGAAATGCCAGCTGGATCTGTAAATAACACCTGGCATGGGGCTCTCCTGGCACCGGACTGAGGAGACTGAGCCCTCTCTGCTGCTGTGCCCAGGGCTCCTTCCCCATTGTACAGACGGGGAAACTGAGGCACGGTGGGGTCCTTGACCCTTCCTAGCAGCGAGCCTGTGATGCAGTCCTATGGGTTTGCAGGGCTCTGGAAGATGTTTTCCAGTGGCAGAGCGACTTTTCCCTGCTGGGAAGGGGAGGGTTTGAGGGTGGCTGTTGCTGCCAGGGGTTCCACACATTGTGCCACCCTCTCGGGGGAGCCAGGGCACCTTCCCCTGCCCACAGGTGTCTCACACCCCTGCAGTAGCCCCCCACCCTCCTCACCCCCTGCTTCCTCCTGGCCATATCTCCCAGGGATGGCAGCTCCCACCCCCCCGGATGCCTCCTGGGGCAATCTGTGGGGACCACACGGGCCTTATCTGCGAGCTGGCCATGGGCAGGACTCCCTGCCACCCCTATCAGTGAGCCAGCTCCTGAGCTGGAGCCGGGGGGAACTAGCCCCATCCTGGCTGTGTTGGGGCCAGGGCTGGGGGCATTGCATGGCCCTACAATGACCGCTGCAGGGGGATGCTCATGGTGCCTGGGACCCCTCTCTGACACTGCTGGATTTGAAAGGCTTCAGCCGAGGTTGTCACACTGTGTGGCTGTGGATGGTGGTGGAACACACACCAAGTGGATGGTGCAGCAGCCTCATGTGACCACCAAACTCTCAGCAGCAGTTTCCTCATTGTGGTGATGCTTGCAGGAGTGGGGGACAGAGCCCTGGGAAAGGCTTTCCTGTCCCTGTCAAAAGCCTGGTTGACCTCAATGTTTTATTTATCTCTCTTGAGTAGTGCCCACTCTCCTGCTTCTAGCAGCTCGGTGGAGTGCTGTTGGGATGCTAGCCAGCTGCAGATGCTGCCTCTCCCCTGAGCCCTTGGGGTGTGGGGTAGCAGGGTCATCTGTGGTCTTGCAGAATGTGGGCATCCCTGTGGTGCCAAGCATCCCCCTGCGCCTCAGGGTCCCATTGCTTCATGGCTGCTGGTGCTGCCTGGCACAGGGACCGAGCAGAGTGAGGGATGTCCCTTGGGAGAGGGAGTTCTCCATCCCACTGAGCAGGGACTGTCCCTCTGTGCGCTGGGACACCAGTGACCATGGATCACCAAAAGCTCAGGGTGAAGATGTTTATTGTTCAGCTGTTGGATGGACCAGAGCCTGAACTGGGTGTGAGGTTCTTACTCCTTGGCATTCTTGCTTTCCACTGCAGCCCCAGGATCTGGGTGGGAGAGGAGAGCATAGGGAGGAACAAATTTTGGCTTCCTATTAGGGCTTTGAATGAGGGTTTTGCATCCTTGCCATGTCCTCTCCATAAGGAAAATAGTAATGGTCAGCTGGGAGCTCACCGTGCCTGCTGGAGTCTGCCCATCTGGCCATAACCGCAGGGAATTAGACATGGGTGGAAAACTGTCTAAAACCCACCCAAATATTTGCATTTCAAGCACTTTTCCAAGTTTTGGGGAACGCTGACAAAGCAGCAGTGTGGGCGATGCAGGCTCACTGGGGCGGTCTGCACGGGGTTTTGGGGGCAGGATTTCAATGGTCAAACAGCTTTGGTTAAACTAAAACAGCAACTGAGCAAACAGGGAGATTCGGCAGTGCTCCCACTGCTCCTCTGCCAACTCCTCATGGCAATACAGCCGCCCCACTGCAGAGGAGCCTTCAGACCACCCTTGCCCTGGTACAGGGGGTACATGGCTCTGGTCTCAGTACTCCCAGTCGAAGGGGTTTTGAGCATGAAAGGGGCTTCTCATGCCTGGAACATCTCAGGGGTCTGGGGCTGAGGCTGAAGTTGAGCTGGTGGGGATTGCCCGGAGCCTTTGTGGCTGCCCCATCCTATCCGTGGGAGAGGATGCTCACCTGCTGTTTGGCTCCTGCCCATCCTGACAGCTTCTGACTGTAGTAGCAGCCTGTGTGGAGAAGGGTGACTGGGGAAGAAGGGACTGCCCACCCCAAGCATGGACTGGGGCTGGAATAGGAGAGAAGTTTGGGGGGACCTGGGGCTACCCCATCCCGCTGCATTTCCCCTCTCCACACCCAACTCTGCCAGCTCCTGGGGCAGGTCAGAGCAAGCAAGCTGCAGGCATGTCCTGTCCTGCTGTTGCAGGGAGGGCTCAAGGCCATGGGCTGCAGGGGTGAGAGCCCAGCATGTCCCTGGGGGACAGCTCTGGGCTGGTGACACGAGCAGGATGGTGACAGATGTGTCCTGGCCCCATGTGGGGTGAGGCAGGGTGGGCTTGGGCACAGTGATGCGGCTGGGGCCTCGGTGCAGGTAGAGGGGGGTCTGTGCTGCCGGCTGCCACTGCTGCATCCGGCACCAAGGGGGGATGGAGAGGGGAGTGTGTGCAGTGATGGAGGCCCCTGTGCGTATGTACATGCATGGTGGGACCAGCTCATGCAGAGCATCGATCTGTTGGGCTCTTCCCCACAGCTTGGGGTCCAGCCATGTCTTGTATCCCCTCCTGTGCTGGTGGGATGCTCCATGCCCCACAGCCACACCTGGCACCTCAGTCTGTGCTGTGCCTGGGGAAAGCAGGAGACTCAGAACTCAATCTGGTAGACAGTGATGAGAAGGGTCATCATCATGCTGGATCAGTGAGTCAGGGACAACAGATACAGGTATGCTGGGCAGGGGGACTAGAGTGTGCCTCCACGGAGTGGGCACCCATGAGTGGTGCTGGCCCCAGGGCTGTGTGCAGGCAGGGGAATAGGTTCCTGCACGTGACAGCCTGGGTGGTGCAGCACATGTATGTACGTGCTAGGGCATGGCTCTGCCTCCCTGGGGCAAGGATACGTGCAGATCACTGCCATGGCGATGGACCACGGGGCAATGAGCACCAAGAAGATGAGGCAGAACAGCAGGACTACCATGATGTAGCCCGCCGTGACCATCACAAAGAGGCAGATGCAGCCAGTACCACAGGAGCTAATGTGTTCCTTCAGCCATAGGCAATGCTGGTTAAACTGGTGCAGTGCAGGGGTTTTAGCTGATGTGGGGGGCCCATAGGCCCTGTGCACCCCACAGCTGTGGCTGCCCTCTGCACTGTGCTGCACACAGGGGCTGTGTATGCAGCGAGGGGGTGTTGTGCTTGTGCAAGGCAGGGGTGAGTGTGTTTGTGTGTGCAAGGGTTATGCAAGGGATGTCTGAGGGCACAGGGCTGGGTGTGCAGCGTACACGATGTATGGACAGGGGTATAGGGGAAACATGGAGAGCTGCGCATGCTGGGTGCATTGTATAGGGCTAGGTGTAGGGTGCAGTGTGTAGGGGCTGCAGGGAGTAGGGCTGAGTGTGCAAGGTATAATGTATAGGGATGGGTGTAGGGCTGAGTGTGCAAGGTGTAATGTATAGGGATGGGTGTAGGGCTGAGCATGCAAGCTACATGCAGTGTGCAGCATGCAGTGTGCCAGGTTAGGTGTAGGAACACAGTATATAGGGCAGGATGGGGCGGTATGTGGTGTGTAGGGACAGGTGTATGGGGCTTAGTTATGGGGCTGAGGGATGGGGTGGGTAGAACCTGGTGTCCACAGCACTTCAGGCATACACAGAGCCCCCAGGATCCATGTCTCTCACCTCCATGGAGCAGTTGAAGCAGGGATAGCAGAGGATGTGTGGCCAGCAGTGACGGTGGCACCCGTGCAGGCAGTGCTGTCTCGCTGTGCTGCAGAGCCCCTGCTTCAGACTGTCCTCCCGTTGCTGCAGGACACACATGGGGAGACTGTGTCGCCATGGAGCCACCCTGCCATGAGGCAGCCCCTGCTCCCCTGCCACCCCACCAGGCTGGAGGAGTCCTAGGTTGACTATGCGAGGCAGGACCAAGATAGTGAGAGACAGGAGGAAGAGGGTGGAAGCATGATGTGCAGGGCTAGCTGTGGCACCTGCAGGCAAGGGTACAGGGGGGCTGGGGCTAGACCCTGGGGCTGCTGTGGCAGAGGTGGAGAATGGGCAGAGTCTTGGGGTGCTCAGCCCCAGGGGCTGCTGGAGCAGGGGGTGGTGGGGAAGAGGATGCAGATCCAGGCTGTTTGAGCTGATGCCTGGTTCTAGCATCTTGAGGACAATGGAGTCAAACAGCAGCTCTGCTGCTCCACGTCCCCAGGGGGGTCTGGGGTGACTTACAGGAGGGAGGCCAGCAAGCTCAGGTAGATGAGGGGTGCTGAATCAAAGCAGGGTGGGAAACTGCATGATGGGATGGGCAGCTGTGGAGCCCTGGCCTCACAGAATGGATCCAACCACAGCAAAATATCACCCCATTCCATTCCCATGGCAACTGCAGCATCCCATGCCGGGGTGCAGGGGACCCATTTGGGATGCAGCTGCCACTCTGGCTTCATCAGGAGCCCACTGTCAAAAGGGCAAAGGGTTGGGGCTCTAAGGTCCCTGGGGGCCTAGTATAAATGAGCCCTCATTTTCCTTGGGGTGCTGGGAGGACACCAGGAGCCACGAACACCCCTGAGACCCATGAGGATGCAGGGATCCATCTAGGACAAAGACACACTGCTCCCCAAGCCTGACGCCCCAGCTCCCCACCCCAGTGTGCTCCCTCCATCCCACATTGCCTTCCCAGGCCCGCCCTGCTGCTGTCCCAGGGTCTGGGCGCTGATCCGGGCCAGCCCTGCCCTCTAGTGCCGTGGGACCGACTGCTCCCATCAGGGCTCAGCGCTGCAGGGCGCTGTGAGCTGAGCCGTTGCCAACTGCTCACACAGACACAGCGCTGTGCGGGGCCCGGCAGGCTCCACCGCCCGCAGCATCACCTCCCGCCCGGGCACTGCTGCTGAGGGGACAGGCGGTGCATCCCGGACCCCATGTGGCACCATGAGCCCATGTCCATGCTGCCCGAGGGGGTGCACAGGCAGGGTCACCACAGCACGGGTGCCCGGTGCCCCCGGGAGGCGGAGGCGCGCTGGCACGGGTGATGTCCGCCTGCCGCGGCTCGCCGGGTCGGTAACCGAGCGGCCGAGGGCACGGCAATGGGCGCGGGCAGCGGCGGAGGCTGCTGGTTAAACTGGAACGAGGCGCGGCGTCCTCCCCGCGTTCCCTGCCCTGGGACTCTGACCCCGAGGCGAGCGGTGCTGGGACGGAGCCGCGGAGGAGCAGAGCAGGATGGACGCCGCCATGGAGCTGGCAGACGACCCTAGGTGGGTGCCGGGACCCCCGCGCCTCTTTGCGGCCTGGCAAATCCAGCTTTTTGGGGGAGGATTTGGGTTATTCCCTCTATAAAGGAACGGAGGTGTTTGTGGGTGAGGCGAGCCAGCCGGGGGATCGCGGAGACCCTGCGGGCCCGGGTCCGTGCGGCTCTCCTCTTCCTTCCCGCAGGTTCCCTCGCCCACTGGTGGAGATGCTGATGAGGAACTTCAGCGTGCCGGCAGCATGCTTCTCCCTACCTCCCACCTCCCGGCACCTGCTGCAGCGTAGGTCTGGGGACCGGGGGGAACCCTCCTTTTGCCAGTGGCAGAACAGGGCAGGGAAGGAGGAGGCAGGATGGATGTGGACAGTGCAGGCAGAGGCAGCCATGAGGAAGGGGGAGGCAGCAGGGTGCTGCCAGGGCCTCAGCCTCCCACCCCATAGCCCTGCCTGCAGGGATGGGGGCAGCACCAGGGCAGGAGACATGGGAGCAGTGGGGCAGAAGCACCAGCTCCAGAATGGCCAGAAGGATGCAGTAAGGGGCTTCCCAAACCTGTGGAGTGGTTGGTCATGCGGCAGTGGTGGCCCCAAGGGGGACTAGAGGAGACAGAGCTGGTTTCTCATTACTCCCCTGCAGAGCTGGACATGGCCCAACTCGCCATCATGGGTCTTGCCACCATCATGACACTGCTGTCGGTCGCAATCTTTGTGGAAGAGGTTTTCTACCTCATCCGCAAGATCCGCTGCCCCATCAAGATGAAGACCCTCTGCTGGAGCAGCTCAGCCCCTACGGTGAGCTGAAGAGTGAGGATGGTGGGGACATCACCCAGGGGGCCAGGGCCACCCAAGGGCTGCCAGCCCACAGGAGTGGGGAGAAGCAGTGTGCCAAGCTTGTGTCTGCCCCAGGTTGTGTCTGTGGTCAGCTGCTTCGGGCTGTGGATCCCACGCTCCATGATGGTGGTGGAGATGGCTACCACAGCGTGAGTATCACCTACCCCAGAGCAGTGGCACCAGTGAGCCCACAGGGCTTGACCTGCCTTCCTCCTCCTCCTCCTTCACAGGTACTTTGCTGTCTGCTTCTACCTCCTGATGCTGGTCATGGTCGAGGGCTTTGGGGGGAAGGAGGCAGTGCTCAGCACCCTGAAGAATGTGCCCATGGTTGTCAGCACTGGGCCCTGCTGCTGCTGCTGCCCCTGCCTGCCCCGAATCACCATGAGCAGGTCAGGGAGAACTGGGGTAACCCCCTGCCCCTGGAGAGGGCTATCACACCCCACTACTGCTGGGGGGAAAGAGGAGCCCCTGGGCCAGGGCTTGGGGACCTCAGGGTGCTAATGATCTCTCTTGCTGTGTCAGGAGAAAGCTTAAGCTGCTGATGCTGGGGACTTTCCAGTACGCCTTCTGCAGGGCAGCTGGCGTCTTCCTGGGGCTGGTGCTGGCCACCGATGGGAACTACAACCCTGCTGATGTGAGTGCCAGTTCAGAGAGGCGGGCAGGGTGACACCCTGATGGAGAGCCTCCACCAGCCCTTGCCTTGCCTAGCAGCTCTTTCAGCCCAGGTGTGTTTCTGTGTGTCCCCCCCAGATCTCAGCAGAGAGTGTGGCCCTCTGGATCAACACCGTGGTCGGTGCCTCCACGCTCTTTGGGCTGTGGGCCCTGGGCATCCTCTTCCGGCAGGCACGGCTGCACCTGACCGAGCAGAACATCAAGGCCAAGTTTGCCTGTTTTCAGGTGAGCTCCCATCCTGCCAGGCTCCATGCAAGCATGAAGGGGACAGGGAGGAGATGGGGCAGGCTGTTGGAGAGTGGGGAAGGTGAAGGGCAGGAGCCTGGCAGTGGTGCAGCCTGCACTACCTCACGTGTTGGTGGTTGTAGATCCTCCTCCTCCTGACGGCACTGCAGCCCGCCATCTTCAGCATCCTGGCCAACAACGGCAGCATCGCCTGCTCGCCACCCTTCTCCTCCAAGGCCAGGTCGCAGCGTAAGTCGGGAGATGGGGGAGCAGTGGTACGTGCTCCTGGCTGAGCTCCTCCATTGCACATGGGGAATGGGCATGGTGGACGAAGGCGGCTTCAAACAACCCTTCTCCTTTTCCAGAGATGAACGTGCAGCTGCTGATCCCGCAAACCTTCATCTTGGCAGTGGTGACGCGGATATACTACCGCAAACAGGATGACAAGCCAGGCTATCAGCCTGTCTGCTTCACGCCTGCATGCACCAGCACCAAGCCGTGAGCAGGAGGGAGCAACTGGGGTGCCAAGGGGCAGAATGAGGTGAGGGGCTGTTCTGCCTGTACACCACCTCCTCCTCCTCCAACCCTGGGGAGCTACTGGCAGCAGAGGAGGCAGAGGGGAGAAGAACATCTTGGCATGGGGTGAAAGGGTCCAAAACCTGAAAGCTACGAGCCAAAGGGATCTGTGAAGCTGCCTCCAGCCTGGGGGTCTCTTATCTGGCACTGAATAAAGATAAGTTTGTACCTGAGGCTTGCACTGGTGACTGGGCTCAGACTGTCTCTTGCCCAGGCTGGCTGCGAGATGACTCCACACAGAGAGAAGATGACGGAGCCCAGACCAGGACAGCTATGGCACGGGCCTGTCACAGGGTGCTCAACACCCGGCTGCAACACTGACCTCTGGGTGCTGCTTGCTGGGGTCCAAGGCACTGCCAGGGCAGCAACATTTTCTCCTGAGACCTCTGGTTGGGTCTGGCCTGTTCCTGAGAGCACAGTAGGAGCATCCACATCTGCCAGCCTGGGGCCAGGCAAAGGAAGAAGCCTTGAAGCACCTTTGTAATACAGGCTATTAGTTAACGCTACCTTAACCAGCCTTGTCCAGGATGTGCTTTGGTAGCAGTATCTGCTCCACACTTAGAACAGAGGTGGACATGAGGAGGAATGATGGCTTGCAGAAACCACTAGGTAATCTTTTGACCTGCAATGAAGCACCTTCTCACTCAAACCATTGCTTAAGATGGCAGGTGAGGAGGCCACAACAGGAGTTGGCAGTGTCAGGATGGCAGAAGGGATCTAGCACACAGCGAGTAAAATGACTTGGCATTTATTTGGCTAAACATAAAAGCCAAACACCCAACTCAAGAACAAGCTAGTAAGATACATAGTGTGCACAGAGGTCCATATGGAGAAACCACCACAGCAAACAGTCTGGGACAAACCAGCTTAAAGCAACTGCTGCTGCAGGGCTGAGGTGACAGCAGGACTGGGTGATGCAGCATAGTTGGAAGTGGGCAGCAGATGCCAGATCATCTGTACTAAGACCAGAGCCTGCTGCAGGGCACCACCAAAGCTTCCCCTGAACTGCATCCTGGTGTCCTTCCACTGTAATACCTTTGGCCAGAGCAACCCCTTGGAGAAGCAGTCAAAAAGACTGAGCTCCCAACTTTTACTTAATTGATTCATTTTGGGGAAAAAGCAGGTTTTTGTCCCATGAGAAGGGGGGAAAAGTGACTCAGAGCTTTTTGCAGGTGGCTGTGTTCAAAGCGAAACTGCTCAGCTGTAAGATGCACTGGTGTTTTGTTATGAGACTGCCAAATTTGACCGTCTCCAGGCAACAGCACATGGCCTTTACCAACACGGCTTTCTAGGCATCAGCAGAAGCACTGGGACCAAGCAATCTCATGGCTTTGCCAAGATGCAACACACAGGGAAGAGCAAAATATGGGACTCATTTCCCTCGATCAGACAACCAGACCCAGCTCCTTACCTGAGGCAGGTAGGAAACCCAACCCACACCTTTACACCAGGGAGACCCAGCAAGAAGCTCACCATGAAGACGAGGGGCAAAACATGGGGTCAGTCCCACCAAAGTCACCACTACTGCCAGGTGTACTTGGTGATCTAGCACCTGCCTCTGGTTACAAGAGCCAGACTGCACAATAAAGTCCTCCGTAAAATGCACAAAATCATTTCAGTACAGGTGTGTGCCATACTTTTCCCAAGAGGTTAAAGACCTTCTACAACTGTAAGCATTATGCTGTTAAAGTGCCATGCTCTTCATTTCTTGCTTTGACCAGCATCCTTGGCACCTTCCAGCTTTGCCCTGCTGCTGTTCTTTGCCATCAGAAAATCCTCTCCCAGGGGATGGTTGCTGGTGCCAACACCCTCACCCCCGCATCTGTACAGGAACTGAGGTAGGGCTGTCTTGCAGAAGTCAATGCCTCTGGATTTAGCAGCATCAAACTCAACACATTCTTCAATGCATGCTAGTGAAGATTTATTTTTCCACTCTACCTCTTGATTCCACAGTCAATTCCAGCATGCCTCTTCTGGGTGCTTCTTCTGAGGAGTGGGATGAGTTAAGGTTGTGCAGGACAGCCCTGGGAAGCAGCACTGGGTACATCTGTGGATAACAGGATATTCTGAAGAACTTGGCTCATGTGTTTTGCCCAAAGATCAAGCTCTGTCCTGTTCCTCAGAAGACAGGGCAGTGCTGGAGATGAGGCTGGTCCAGCAATCCATAAGGAAACAAAAAAAATACAAAGGGGAAAAAAAAAAAAGAAAGACTAATCTGGGATTTGAGGTTCCAATTTAATTTAAGTGCAAGGAGGAAGCAGGGATTACTGGTTACAAGAAACAGCTCTGTTATTCCAAGCTACATGTAAAACCATAGCTGGCTTCTTACCAAGTACCCCAGGTTTTGCAGAGAGACTGAGAAATACATTAAGGTCTCTGCAGAACAAATCATAATTCAAAACACCATTGTTATCTGAATTTACAGAACACTGTTGCATAACTTGTGTTTAAAACAGTAGTAAGGCTCTAGAGCAGCCTGGCCTTTGTGATCTGGCTTGGGAAAGCAACACAACACCCATACTGAGGGAAGGGTAAGGAAGGGAAAGTAGGGAAGATGAGGGAAGAGAGAATGTAGGTGATATAAAGCAAGTGCTCTACCACTCATAAACTAGGGGATTCACAACTGGCTTGTACCAAGTGGCAATTATTTGCTCCTTAATAGCAAAAAAATCCATAGCAGCCAACCATGCTCCCAGAGCTGTGCACATCCCTGCTGAGAGAGGTCCGAAGTGGCAGACAAGAATCCCCAAAATACCCTTCCAGATACCAGCTCTGGCCTCAACAGAAGCACAGTGTCTCTGCCAAGCCCTCTGGGCAGCATGACAACGGATCAGCAAGATGAAAGCTGGAAAGAAGCAGCAGCCTGCTCCCACCACAGGGCCATTGCATCCCTGGAAGCATCGCATCATGCAGAGCCTGTGGCAACACGTGATGATTTGCCTCCTTGCACCCACTGCTTTGCAAGCGCCAAATCCCACTAGAAAAATTTCCCTGCAGTGTTCCTGACCAGCTCTGAGCTGTCCTGTACTCCCAGCATTGCAGGATACAGGCAACTCTGCCCAGCAGCTCCACCCAGAGACAATGGATATCACAGGCAAACCTGAACAGAAAAGGAAGCAGGAGCTTTGCAGCTACGTGACAGCAAGTCCAGTTCCTCCAGTGCTTGCCTCAAAGACAGAGTACACTGACCTGCTCTGTGCACAGGCATGCAGCATGGGGAGGGCAACTGCCCACGGGGAGTCGCAGGCCACAAAGCTCAGTGTTTATTACAGACATGACAGCAGGCACAACCTGCACCATGGTTTCAAACAAGCAGATTACATATCTGAAGTGTTAAAAAGCTGCAGCTCTCTGATGCTCTTTCTGGCCTTCCCCAAGGAGCGGAGCAAGCAGGCACTGATTTGTGCATTTATTACGCAAGCCAGGTAACCGTCACACGGGACCGCGACCCTTCACTGGGGTAAAACATGCCCTTCATCTGTCCAGCTGCACACGCCAACATGGGCAGCAAACTGGCTGTACGAATTCATGTTCTGTCCTCATAGCAGCAACTTCACGGCACCAGTGTAAAGGACTGCTCCAGCCCTTAGAGCACAGCAACTGAAACACAAACACGCACAGGGCACAGTCTTGAGGTGCTGTTTGGATAGACAGTAAAACTTATTACACACCAGAGACTGGGACAAGGAACTTCTCAAAGGAGTACACACATTCATTTCCTACCTGGGCTCTCACACACCTGAGGAAACGTGCAGACAGCAAGTGCCCTGAAGCAAAGATTCATTCTCTTCTCTCCAACAGCAACTGAGGGCTGAATTTTAGCTCAAGAGTTAGCAGTCTTGTTAAGATTAGCTGGAAAGGCCTTTCTCCTGCAGCCCCTGTACAATTTGGAGCTGCAAATGCTGTGTGCTTATGGGGTGTGCGAGTCTATGGTGCTGCGAATTCCTCCAGGGTGTAACTCCTGTGTGCTAAGCTGGTAGCCCCCTGCTCAGCACATCCTCATGACATTCTGGGAAGCTCAGCTAAGGGGCACATGAGCACTACAGCATCTGCTGGATAGATTCCTATGGGCTCCAGTGCAGCAGAGATTTCTCTATTTCCTAGAGGCCTCTTTACACCACTACCTCCTGCATGCTCTCAAGGTCATGCTGATTGAGGAACCGAGGGGTCTTTCATTTGGCAGTGGCACAGATACTGCCTGGAGGTGGGGGGGGAATAAGACAGAGGAACTGAAGTAAAGAAGAGACACATGGGTCTTCCCACTCTCCCTCTTGCCTGGAGGTTTAACAAGGGAAAAGAAACCAAAACAAAAGCCACACTTGAGTGCTATTCTTTGCGCTTTAAAAGTATTTTCTAAAATATAAAAACGATCTTCCCCCTGGAAACTACTAGAATGTAAACAATAAAAAGGGGATTTAGGGAGAAGGGAGAGGAGGTTCGAATGTGCTTCCAGGCAGCAGCCCTTGCTAAGAGCAACAGGTGCCTCCAATGCCCTGTGCTCACCATCAGCCCTGTTCCTATGGCTCTCTCGCTCATTTAGAGTTCCCCAGTGGGTTCAGACTTAGGATGCGGCGGTTAGCGATTTTCAGCAAATCCTGGCTGGTAGCTTAATCCTCCTCATCCTCACTGATGTCATAGGTGACCGCAGACTCATTCCTGGAGCGGTTGGCTGGCGAGGAGGGAGGAGTCTTGGTTGAAAAAGGCCAGCGGAAGGAGGGAGATGGGGAGCGGTCGTGCGTGGGGCTACTGCTGGGACTCTGCTTTGGGCTGATGGCCTGCAGCATCCGGCCCTTGCCCTCCTTCAGCATGTGTTTCTAGTGACAGAAGCAGGGACATAGTTAGCATGGCTCAAACAGCAATGGAAGTAGACGCTACCTACAGCTTGTGCAGCATTTTGGGTTGCTGCGTCTCTTCAATGCTTCATACAAGAGCAGAAAAAGCCCAAGCATTGCTCCAGACTTTGGAAACCATCTATAGTGTAATCATGATCAATCTTCTAGCACTTCTAATGTGAAGTGCCTGTAATATTTTCCCAGCTGTACAGGAGAGTCTGGCATAGAAAAGTAGCTTTAGGCTCATCCTAGACCAATGACAAAGTGACCACCAATCTCTTGGCTGCTCAGCAGCTGGTAGGACACAAGCTGGAGTTTACAGGCTAGCTTATGGGATACAG